CGTTCACCTTTTGCCTTAGATTTGTTATAAGCTTTGCATCTTTGGCACTCCTGACAGGGTTATCGGCCTCTAACTTCATTTTTTGGATTTGGGCTCGTAAGGCTTCATTTCTTTGGCCAATTGTTTTTTCTCACCTTCATCAGCTGCGGCTTGCAAGCTATTTTCAAATCGAAGGTCTTGGACCTGTTTTTCCAATGCTCCTATGCGGGCCCTATACTCATTTTCTTTAGTTATCCAAGCCCACTGTTCTTGTGATGATTCGACAAATTCCTGGATGTGAGGTCGTTTGGCCGGTCTTCCGAATGCAACGTCCCTTCTGTACCAAGCCTGATAATCAGGCGACACTTCTCCTTTGGCTCGATCTCGAACACAAGTGTTTGCCGCCAAATATTGGCATTCGCTCCAAACTTGGCGGACCATTGCTTCAGGAAACTGGCCATCAGGGCCAATCTCAACCACTTGCAAACTAAGATCATCATCCTTGGGTACTATCTGGCATCTCCCCAGCTGCCTCAACACTCGATACGGTGCGTAAGGCTGAATGCTTCTAAGCCCTATCAGAAGGAAATGTGGTCGGGCTGCCGGCATATATACGATTTCATCAACGGGTAACCATCCCAGTGTCCACTCTATTTGGCTAGCGGTGAGTGCCGAAAATATGTTGTCCAACCCGCGACCCCTTCTGGCAATTTGACCCCTTTAGCTCTTGTGTAAAATTCTTCTATGCATGTTTTTTCTGGAGACCCATAGCTCAAAAACTGAGGGCGATGATACAGATGCTCAATCATCCACATTTGTAATAGTAAGTTGCACCCCTCGAAGAAGGTTTCTCCGGCTTTACAAGCTGTAAGAGCACGGAAGATGTCGGCCAATATCATAGGTGCAAGTGTACTTTTGGCTTGAGTGATTAACGTACTGACAACCCCAGCTATTTTTATGTCAATGTTCCCATCCTTCCTTGGAAATATTAAAAGCCCCAAGAAAGCCACCATAAAAGCGAAACATCGATGCTCCTCCCACTTCTGGCGGTTTCCTTTGTTACATATCTTACTTTCTGGGTTGTTGAACCCCCCGATACTGACCATAGCGATGATATATGAAGCTTAGGGTACAAAAGCCATTTGCCAGGTCTGTGTTATGGACGGCCCTGACTATTTTTAAGGAGTCTAGAAACTTGTGTACAGCTACAACTCTGGGAGCAACCAAGTATTTGTGCCTTAATGGGACCTCGTCCTTTCCAATGTAACCAGCTATTTCCTCCAATGTCGGGGTAAGCTCAAAATCCGAAAAATGGAACACATTATGTGCTGGGTCCCAACATGTAACTAGTGCTCTTATAATATCTCCCCGAGGCGTAATATCGAGCAAACCGGTGAGCCCTTTCAAATGTTTCTTGACCGCATCTTGCCCTTCTTTGCCCAAATCGTTCCACCATAGACGTAACTCCAAAGGGATTTTATGCATGATTGAAAAGGGTTCATTTTGAGTCGTGCTCATCCTGCACATTTATTAAGGTGATTTAATAACTTATTTGACCTAAAAAGGAAAGCAAATAACACTATTTTGTTCAAATGTTCAATTTTAAAACGGCCGGTTTTGCAGTTACGGCTTTTCAGCACTTCGGGGAGAAGGCGTTGAAACTGTACCCGTTGACCATTGGGAAATGACTCAAGATGGCCGTTTTGCACAAACAGCCTTCCGGCGCCCGTTTGGGGACATTCGGACTATTTTGGCAAAACGGCATCACCTGATTTATTTATAACAA